AGGATTTAATATTTATATGCTCATCATGTAGTATTGAGAGAGACTAGTCAAATTTTTAGAAGACACTACTTTTTATCTCACAAAATAAAATAAAATAACAGAAGAACAAGTAGTATTAATGATTATGTTTAAAAAGTCATTAAACCTCTCAGGATCATCATTCTCGAATCCCGTGAATTAATTGAAAAGACATTGGATTGTTATATGGGAACATTTCACATGTGTGCCGTGAAGAAGACAGGCTTGGAGGATTTACCTGCAAACAAGCATATATCTTCTTGTTTTTGTTTTTTTTGGCCCCAGGACAAACAAGTATTTGTCGAGCAATTGCATGTAACTTCTAAACTCAACTGTAATTTCTTACAATATGATAAATCAAAATTCAAATACTCATTAAAAAAATATTTACATAAAACATTTGATAATCTTTTGATTTAGATTGTCTCTTACATGAGACCATTTGTCGGTAACAAAAAAATAAACTCAACTTTACAACAACAAAAAGTCTAAACTCAACCCACCAATTGAGAACCTCAATCTGCCCCTCAAATTATGTTGCCTCCAGTCTGAACTCTAAATTTGGAATTGTTAGATTTATCAATTTGGATTTATTATTATTTATTTAATATATGATTAAAAAGCATTCTTTTCACCACAGTTATTCACTTAGGAGTACCTGCCATTCTAAACATTCATGTGGTGTAATTTTTTTCTTTCAACCCTTTGTTAAAAAAGTTAACTTTGTATATTATTTGACCTTGAAATTGTAGGAAATAGCCTTATAAATTACAAAGAATGACCCATAAAATTACACATAAGTACCATATGAGAAAGTTAATATCAATTAAATCCTCTTGATTATGTACAAATTATAGGTGTTTGGGCCTAAAATAAAGTGTTAACCCAACATCTCAAAGGAGGAGGAAAACTGAAACGACATTCCCAAGTAATAATAAAGGCTTGATTTGTTATCAGAGGAGCCGTGCCATGCATGTTCTCAGCATAACCCTTGAGATTTGGAGCAATTTGGTATAGGAGACTGTTGAGTGAACATGGCAACGTTATCTAACGTGCCACGAATATCATGGGGCTGTGCTGAGTGATCACAGATATTTCACACATGGGCTTTGGATTCTTTAGGCACAACGGTCTTAGGTGTACAATTCTAAAAAAGCAAATTCCAATCATCATAAGAGGCATTGCCATCGTTACCAATATCATAGGCAACCATAGCTTATACCAGATTAGCTTATACTTCATATTTAGACTTAAATTTATTTTCAATTACAAGTTGTAATCATTGTAGTCTTGTACCCTATTTCCCAATAAGCAAGAACATTTTGTTACTAATCTCCTTATATCTTTGCATTTGAGTGAACTAAGATAAGAAAGCTCGGGGATCCTATAGTTGTCTTTGAGACTCGCTATCTCTAACACGCCTGATTTTTGTTGTTCAAACACAACATCCAACTTGTGAAGAACAATATGATACAAATGTTATTTCTTATCCACATAGAAGACCAAAATATGGTTTTGGCCAACAATTATTTTAGGGACTTAATCAATATTAATTTCTCTATAAGGTACTCATTTATAATTTCATGAGTCATTTTCCATAATTTTAGGTTTTTTTTTTGTAATTTTTTTAGCCAACTAATATTCAAAGTTAGCTTTTTTAATAGTGGGATGCTCAATGCAACATCTTGAAAAATTGAAGGAGAAAGTTGCATTATATGAAAATTTAGGATATTAAATACTCTCAAATGAATTAGTTTAGGGGGGAATGCCCTTTAACCCTTAAATAAGATTATTGCTAAAAAGATAGGAATGCCCTTTGTTTCCAAGTATATATTCACATATTTATTGTTAGATGTTCATTTATTTACAAGTAAAGGTTCTCATATTTACAACAATAGGTCCACATATTTACTAGTAGCATTGATTCACATATTCACAACAACAGCTTCATATATTCACAACTATATGTTCACACACTTGTTTACATTCACAATTAGTGAATATGTGAACTTCTTGTTGTGAATATGCAAACCTATGCTTAATTAGCGAATATCTGATGGTAAATATACGAACATATACTTCTACCAAGGGCATTTTTGTCTTTTCAGTGAAAAATTTATTTGCAAAGAGGGCCCTTGGGCCTAGACAATTATTTTAGAATTGAAAGGGCATGCAATTTAATTATTTTGTTTTTGAGGGTTCTAAATGTGATTCTCCCTAAAAAATGGATACTATATCGTTTAATAGAGGGAAGAATACTACTCCTTCCTAACCAAAACGTAAGCAGTTTTTGAAAAAAATCTATATACTAACGAAGTCTCCATTTCTATATATATATATATATTTTTTTTCTCTAGTCTCAATTATTAATACACTCTATAATGAGTGAAAGATAAATATACATGACGGCAAAAAGAAAGAAAGATACATTTACACAAATATCTAACTTAATAAATATAAAGTGTAAGATGAGAGTTTTTTTACATGTACTAAGCTGCTTATATCTTGAATCAAAATTAATTAGAAGAAAATGCTTATATTTTGGATGAAAGGGAGTATAACAATTATTAATCACCATTGTTTAGTATTGGCCATTTATAAGGATGAAAAAAACCTAACTTAGTGTGTATTTGGATTACAAAGTTCACAATTGAAATTAAAATCAACTGAGATTAGGAAGAAAAATTTGTGAATGTAGTGCAATTTATATTTAAATATTTTTTTAGAAGTCAGTTGGACAAATTAAAATTTGTTAGGATAATTTGATTAAAAATTCAATTTAGATGTATAATGGCAAAAAACAACATGGATTTTGTGATATATATATATATATATATATATTGTGATTCATTTGATACTTTTAGGAAAAATATTAAACTTTAACTTGATAAATTAAAAATCTTAATTTTTGCAGAGGTATAATGAAATGACAACTTATAATTATTGAAAAAATTATAATTAAAGTATTTTTTTTAGCAAGGGAAAATTTTTTCCCGTGATCAAAAATCTATTTTTTTTATAATTAAATGTTTATCCAAACACCCCTTTAGTTTTCTCTCAAACTAATCATGCATTTTTTCCTGCATATAATATTTCAAATACAAGACTCCAAGTTTGACTCTAATCGCAGTTTGAATTCTAATTTATACTTTTGGGCCAATTTTTTTTTAATCTATACTCTAATCATAACTTTTTAGGCGCCGTGCATGCTTTAATTTATTGTCAACATTCTACTTTCTTTCAGTATTTCACATCGAAATCGCTGTTGGCATTAATCAAAATCAATATTAAGATAATCTATACAATCCATGACATACTCATATGCTAAGCAAAATGAAAGCAATATATATATATATATATATATATGAGTGTAAATTAGTTATCCGTAAAAAAGTATATGTTAATTTTTTTTAACATATCTTAACTAGATCAACACAATGGTGACTAAGCTTTGTGATACAAGAATCTAATTATAGGAGAAATATAAGGAAAAAAATAATAAATAAGAAGCAAGATCTTTATTAGGAGTTGATTCTATAAAATTAATTTTTTTATTTTTAACTTATAGAATTATGTTAACTCACTCGTCAACTTAAACTAAATAAAACTCATAAGTTGACTCTGTGAAATTATCATTTTTATATTTTTTAATTTATAAAATTGTGTCAATTTACCTATAAACTTGTTGAATAAGATAGGCATATATTATGTATATAATTTGATTTATATGGAAGGTGAGATCTAGTTTAATAAAAAATAAACTAAAAAAATTAATATTAATGAAAAAAAATTATCAAAAGTAATTTGCCTTATTTTGAAATTTTTATTTTGAGTATAATAATCTATGAATGTAAATAGATTTAATTTTAATAATTTATATTTGAAATATATTAAAATTATTTTATCATATATTTTTAAAAGTTATTTATTAACATAAATAGATTTTTATGAGTTTATGATCTAAACCTACGTTTTGAATTTACAACCTTGCCATGAATTTAAGAACATTGCGGAGCAAAAGGAATTAGAGTCTAATATAGGAGACAAAAGAACTTACATGTTGAATCAAAACAAATTTTTTGAACAAGCTGTTGTATTTAAAACTAGAAGGAATATATTTGACGTTCTCATTGAAAAAATCCCTAAGTCATTTTCAAATGACGACAAAGTTTACAAGCTGAATCCAGGAAGTTGAGTTTCATCGAAACTATAACCAGAAGTTCTTCGTCAATACCTAATATTCCGTGACTTATACTATTATATTTATAACTGAGAATGAAACAAATAAAGTAAAAAAATTAATCTTTTGTTAGTAATGGGCACAAGAAGAACAATGTGATGTGAGGTTGATTGGCCCAGAAGGGGGAAAGAACTCGGAAGAGAGCAGGTGCAAACAAGAAATTTGTGTTCATTTTCAAACATATGACTTTGCTAATTAATTCCATGCCTTTTTTTGGGACTTTATTTTGCCCGAACAATACATTGCATTGATATATAACCAAATTGCAACTCGATTTTATGGCACCGTTTGGGCAGTTCAATAGATTTTATGTTCCCAACTTCACATTTCCAATTTGACGCGCTGCTAATGAGGGATAGAATAGTAGAAATAATTTTTTGTCGCACTTCAGAGTAGAAAAATCTACCCTACATATTTCCAAAATGGCTGTCCTGGAAAAGAAACGTCAAAGTTAATTAAATTCTAGTGCGTCTGCAAAATTAGAAAATCGTCTTAATCCTGCCTAAACCTAATAAATTAAAATTAAGCATTCATTTCATCGATCTCTCGAACGGGAACGAAGCTTGGATTGGATATAAAGTAAAATCTGAATCTCCCGGTCTGCATCATCGCATCAGTGCTTGAGTGCACCACAAAAGCCACACCGGGGTGGGTCCCACCTCTCTCCTCTCATCGCAGCCACTGTCGCTTCCAATGAGAAAAGCATGCTTTTTTAATGGCCTCTAACTGCTCGCCGTCTTCGCAACGCACTTAAACGCGCCAACGCTTCCCTTTTAGCTAGGGTTCGTTTTTCCCTCTTCTGTGCCTTCGAATCTTCGCCTGCTCGCACCTTTTATTATCCTTTCTTCCGCATTTCGCTTTTGCTACCATGTGGGTTCTGAAGCTCCGTCTAAATATTCGTCCTTCTTCATTCCCTTTCTTATATGCCCCCTCCAGATTTTACTGCTTCTGCTCCATTCGATTTGTATTTTCGCTCGGTTCTTCTTCGTAGCTTCTCCATACTTCGTCTGCGTAGTGGAGGCCCGTACTGTAGCTTACTGTCGATTTTGCCAGCAATTTCTACTTGGAAATTTGTCTCTCTTTTCGTATTGGCATTTCTGTTCAATTGGCTGCAATGATTAGATGCTCTCTTTTTGGCCTAAGCCCTGAGTCCACCGTATGTTTCGTTCGCGATTCATAGCATTTGCCCTCGCAAATTCCTCTCAGAGATCTCTCGTGGCCTCGTTCGCTTATCTTGTTTCGCTTGCCTAGTGTTCTCGGAGACAAAGATGGATCTGGTGCTCTCGACTTCAAGATCTCTAGTTTCTTGCCACATTTAGCAATACCGACCGGTTGTTCCGTCAAGCACGGCTTACCAATGAAGCTTTCGATTCGCCCGCTGTTTGGTGTTCTACTTGTCGTCGTCTTCGTTGCCACTCTCAGCTGCACAACCATTGTTCGGAGAGGCTTATTGTCCATTGAGCTGGAGAGCAGAGTATGGGTTCAAGTCCCGACGGCTCTATTGTTGAACGCGACGCTGCTAAAATACGCCTCCATCGACATCGGAGAAGAGAAGTCGAAGCAAGAAATCCAGCAGCTTCTGGACGGGAACTTTGGAAGCCAAGCCCGGCACCGGACATTTGTCTCTTGGCGTAGATTCATTCACCATGATATCTCAGAGAAGGACCCCAGGAAACTACCAGCAACGATACGCTCTCCGTTGTTTTATAGGTATTGGTTAGATTTCCGAAAGGTTTTGAACGATTGGGCCAGGAAAAAGAGGTTTCAGCCTGGTATTCTGTCCGATTTGTCGCGGCTGGTGAAGCTTCCGATCGATAGGCACAACGGATTGGCCGGTTCTGACCGGCGATACTCGTCTTGTGCGGTGGTGGGCAACAGTGGGATTTTGCTGAACAGCGACTATGGGAAGCTTATTGATAGCCATGAGGCAGTTATCCGATTGAACAATGCAAGGGTAGAGAAGTTTGAGAAGAAAGTGGGGTCTAAAACTAGCATTTCATTTGTAAACAGCAACATTTTGCATCTCTGTGCGAGGAGGAAAGAATGCTTTTGCCACCCATATGGCGCTAAGGTGCCAATGGTTATGTACATTTGCCAACCAGCTCATTTCTTGGATTACACGGTTTGCAATTCCTCTCACAAAGCACCGTTACTCGTCACCGATCCGCGATTCGATATGTTATGTGCTCGGATTGTGAAGTACTACTCCTTGAAGAGGTTTGTGGAGGAGACAGGGAAAGCTTTGGAAGAATGGAGCTCTGCACATGATGGTGCTCTATTTCATTACTCTTCTGGCATGCAAGCTGTTATGCTAGCTTTAGGAATCTGTGATAGAGTCAGTATATTTGGGTTTGGCAAGTCTGCGTCAGCGAGGCATCATTATCATACGAATCAGAAGGCTGAGCTTCATTTGCATGACTATGAAGCAGAATATGCGTTTTACAGGGACCTGGTCGATGGACACAGAACAATACCTTTTCTTTCGGACAAATTCAAGATTCCGCCCGTTGTGTTGTATCAATGACCCATCATTGTTCTGATTTATGGTGGAGCAGTCAGCAAATTCCTTTATTGTGAAGCATCTGAATTTTTCTCTTTTGATTCTTGTGAAATGCACAGTGTATGGAAAGCAATACTGATTGAAGAGTTTTTTGGTCTTTTCCCTCATTCCAGAACTACTCGTGCCACAGCTAGGCTCTGGCAACAGTTTAAGTGTAAATTGCGGTTAAATCAGTACATCTTTGTTTTGTACACTCAACATTCTGTTGATCTGCGGTTCTCATGTGGTTGGTTTTGTTTTGTAGCTTCATAGCTGTTCGTGGAATGCTCTTGCACTTGACAAACTTACAGCATCATCAAAGGCCTCGTCTACATATTCATATTGAACTATATGACCTGCTTAAGGTCTCTGGCATTTAAAGGAATAGACATGATCTCTTGCCTGCCCCCCTCCCCAATGCACAATGATCATCCGCAGTTTTTCAGTGCGATATTCTAACACCTTAGTAAAAACCAGCGACACAAAACTTCACACGCTATCCGCTGACTGTATGCTCTCTCTGCTGCAAATGATCTGTATTCTAATCTCGAAATCCAAATATGGCCGAACAAAAGATCCTGATGGTCAAACAAGGTGGTGTTCAGAAATAGTTCGCACCGCTATTTGGCATAGCGCCAAAACCCTCATAATCATTAGATTTTGAACGAGAGGATTTGTCTGACGTCAATGCCCCACCATCCCATGCAAAGCCACAGAATTGGCTTGCATTTTCAAAGGCTTATTTGGATTTCTACTTTATCCGCCTCTCATGTCCAGTGAAGCACAAGTTATCCAACACGAGTTTGACTATACTTTTCGCAAAAATTTCTCGCAATCTCCCCCAAAGAAATCTGTAAAACTACAAATTGGACGCATTATCGTCTCTATCACTAGTCTAGTCTAAAGGGGCCCCTCTTGTAAAATTTTGCTGGTGAAGAAATTAAGTCGAAGCCTGAAGGTGTTCATTGATTATAGCAGAGAAATTAAACGCCAATAGAACAGTGTTTGAATTATAGTCCCCAGGTATGGCTGGTATGGGGCCAACAAAAGTGTATATAGCTTCAAACCTACATGGAATAGTAGAAAATACAGGAGCCAGACGTGACCTAAAGCCATTATCCTACTCATTCAGTCACATGGCTTCTGCGAGTTTGAATATGCCAACAGTTTGTCCTTCAGCAGGTGAGGCCACCAGGCCACCAAACAAGTTGCTCCTTAAAACGAACAATCCAATTTGGTGACAGCAACAAAGAAGATGACAGAAGACATTTGGACAGAAAATGTCTCATTATCATATCGTTAGCTCATTACCAATTATGGAGTGTTGTCAACAGTTTCCAATAATGCTTTGCTTCCGCCCAAGAGGTCAAGACAAAACCACCTTAATAGGGCTGTTGGGGTAACGTGGCCCATGAGATGTTGGGTAGGGTGATAATGGGTAAGAACAACACGGTTCACTTGTTCAACCTAAATGCCAGCGCTTTTTGGTATTGACCCAATAAGGTAAGAAGATTGAAAATCAGTGCTTCTATCATATGGACCTTCCTTTCCATCTGGGCTTCACGAAGAACTTACAATTGCATCCGAGCCTCCCGGCCGCTAATTCTAAAATGTAAATATGTGAAAATTTAAGAGATAGAAGCTCTATTTTTCGTATCATCGTACCCAAAAAAAAAAATCTAAGATGATTCGTAAAAGAATTTCTTCTTCATTGAACTCATACACTAAAAAAATACTTCTAAGAGGCCTCCACGTACATTATTCATTTGTACTATAATAATTTATATTTTCTAAATTCATCGCTACGCCACATTGATAATTTTAATTTGTTCATAATTATTTGATGACTTTAACTTTTATACCACAAAAGTATGACATAATAGAATGACAAAGAAATGCAGTAATTTTCATAGGACATATGGCATTTAAAGCTAATTTAATGAGCACAATCTCACCAATATTATAAATTTGACCATAAACCCAATCTTCTATTATTATAATTTTGCATGGAGTCGAATAAATAGTTAAAGTATTCTGTCGATAACTTATATAGTGCAACTTCCTATGAATTTTTTATTTTATATATTAATAAATGAAAGTATTTCGAAAAAAATTCACCAAATGGCAGCGCGTATAAATGACAACTCGAGCGACAATCATACGCTTTTGTTTAAATTGGATTCGTTTCATTCATGTATAGGCTAGATCGTGCGGATCAGGTAAAGTAATTAAAATGTCATTTTCTTTTCTAAACAAAGAAAAGAAGGGTTCATATTGGGTTGGAATAGTATTGTCTCTATCAAGGCAACCAGGTGAAGGAGCGTGGAGTAATTAACTAACGAGGCTAAGAATAATTAATTGGGTGCTTAGAATAAGAATATCTATGAAAGCAATTTAGATAATAGTTAATTAGACTGCTAAATCAGGGCAGCCATAGATGGTGGTTGGGATCTTTTTTCACCCGACAAAACATGGTGGAGGTCCCTTATCTTCACAAACCAAACACGCCTCTTTTTTCCTTCTTCTTTTGTATGATCCGGTCAATCTCAACTAAACCCATATCTGTTTTCAAATTAACCCTTTGATCATTTCCTCTCTCTGTTCTTCCTCACGTGTAAGCATCACCATGTCATCTTTCAGAAAAGTAGGTCCTTTTTGCATTGGTACGCATGCTCTCTCTTTTCAAACATGGGTGTAATAATTAAGGATGTTAATCACCATTTTGGGAGTTCATATTTCAATCAGTTAATCATCGGATTAAGCATGAGACAGAGAATTAATTGTTCCTACTTAATTCAATGCTTTTAATTAATATTGAGTAATCAATTATCTCCCTACATGATGATATGGTTTGGTGAGCTGGAGCCCTCCAGAATAGACTCTCACTCGCGTCCCACCACTTTGCCTTTGAAAATAGGGGCTGCTATAATATAATCAAGCCATTACGTTCGCGCACACACTCTCTCTCTCTTGCTAGCTAGTCTCTTTATCCATTAATTACCCATTCTCATTTTATGTCGCATAGATTCTGAACTCATCACCAAGCGCTAGTTGTTATGATCTCTAATAATGTTGTCATCTTAATTATGTCTAATAAATGCTTTTCTCTGCACCCAAACTTTTGTTGAGTTTGAATTACCGACTGCGTAGGGACAACAGAAACTAATAAACTTTTCAACATTTATTACACACAATTAAACGCCACGAAATGTGCATATTGGTTTCACATGCATTTGGTGCATGAGCTAGATTAAGATCAGGCTTTGTATAGAAATAAATTAAAACCACAATGCTCTCTCTATGTATAGCAATCTGCAGGTCAAGTCCATAAGAACAAACAAAGTTATATAGATTGTGACAACAAATTAAAGTCCTCCAATGGTGATTACCATTTAGTAATGAAGCGGATAAATTTTCCCCATAGTGAAGAGGTTACAGATAAATACTCTCCAAACACCTACTTCTTCCTGTTCTTGTGAGAAGAAAATTCATCTACTTCATCACTTAAGAGGTAATGGCCATCTTATTATAATCACCACAAAGCAAACCTCTATATATCGATCCTTCTAGCTAGCTAGCTGCTCGTCATCACCCAACAAGTGCTCCCTAGCAAACCGATCCCTATGGTCACGCCTCAGCACTTCCATTCAAGAGAACTTTTTGTTACTGAGCACAAGCTTAAGAACAAGCCTCGTAATAATAATACTAAGGGCAAAGACTCGAAGTAAATTAAGTTCTTTAGGTGTTTGCTGTCAAATTCTGTAATGTAAATTCAACACGTGTAAATTTGACAGCAAACACCTAAACTATGAGTTAGATTATGTGTGAGTAGTAACAACTTCATCTTCTTCCGAGTCCTTCTCAAAACCTTCAAGAGAAGGATGGGGTTTGTGACCCTTTCCGAATGACCTAATATGATCCTTGAGGGATCTCTTGTGCTTGAAATCTGAACCACAAGTGCAATACCACAACTTGCCACAGTTCTTCTCGTGAGTCCTCCAATCTCCTTTGACAGCGAAAGTCTTGGCACACTTTCTGCACATGAAGGGTTTGGAGCCATGCTTTCTCTTGTAGTGGGTCTGCAGGGTTCTGAAGTCCTTGAGTGGCTTAGCTCTCGGATGGTTGATGTTGTTCTTGCAGCCATGAGCACAGCAATAACATGGTAGCCTCAGCATTGCTGCTGGTTGTGTTCCTCTTAGAGAGTCTGGTCCTTTCCTAAATTCGGACCCATGCCCCCACATATGCATCTGAAAAAATGGATCAGGAAAAATTAGTGTTAGGCGATAGGTATAGTAACACGTAAAGCATGGTTACTTCTCTAATCTACTCACTCGTATCCTGCATGTTACTCATTTATCAGTATGAAAGGGTGAACGAATCAAAACAAAAATCAGGCCTGGATTATACAGTTTGATATTTTCCAACTGAATTTGATCGAAATCTTGAAATCAGGGCCTCCAATTTCTTGTACCCTGCTAATGTATGACTGATCAAAAGCAATGTACTGTAACTCACAATCTCTATGTTGCTTTTCAAAATATTTCTAGACTTGTTCAATTTATGAAAGATTTGAGGACCAAATTAATTATGCTAAATAATTGGAGTTTTATTGAAAAATGTTTTGATAATTGTCTTAAATTAAAAGTTTTTTGAATAAATTCTTTTTAGTGACGAGGTTAATTTGTCTAACTAGTCAAACACTAGTCAAAAAGCTTCGGCTATATAGCCCTAGCCCCTAGATAATCATGCTGAATTCTTTGCCACTAGGTATCCCTCTAACTGCAGAAGTTTGAAAAATCTGCAGATGGAGAATGCAAAGGTTTTGAATATTTTTCTAAACTTTTTGTCCATTGCTCCGGAAACTTTGCTATTTGATCTAGCTTGTGATTTTCTTGGGCCATCCATTATTAGCATTCCTGTGCTATTCCTTCTGAGGACTGCTCTGCCCCAAAAGGGCAATCTCGGGAAAGGAACAAACACCAAAACTTGAGTAAATTTTCTTTGACATGTTGCGGAACAAAAGGATCTTTTATATATGCTAAAAGAAACAAAGTAAGAGAGTGGCAGTACGTAGGCCATGATCTCGCTCAAACTTCTGAAAGCGAGAAGCAAAAGGGAGGGTCATCAAGCAGCCTTTATATGCTTCAATATTTTTCTTTGATCATGATGTGCGAGTGCTTGATTATCATATATAATGTAAAACACCAATTTAAAGCACGTGCATACTAATTATACGATATAACATATTATAGATGATTTATGTAGATCAATAGCTACCAAGAACCAATTGTACTCATCATGCATGCATGCATGGGAGATATCCATGTACCTGATGAAGAAAACTAAAATGCTACATTAGGTAGAGAATAATACTCTGAAATATTCAAACTCTATGAAAATTCTTAATTTTTCTGTAAGATCTTACAGTTTGACCCCAAAAGAGGAGGAAGAAGTAAAGAAACCACTCTGACATGCATATTCTTTTTTATATTTTAAGAGAGTTTGAAATCATAAATTCTACCCATACTTTACCCCAATTTTATTCCACAAGACCATTGCTGTCAAATAATCCTGGAATAAATTTGGATCCAAGGTTATAATTAAAGTGTAATTATCTTGATCTCATTGCACGGGTGCGTGATCCAATTTGGAGAAGACAAATTTTTTCATGCCGTATAAAGGGATCCATGCTTTAGGCAACATGAAGCTAGATCACGTGAGTTGAGTAGGGGCTTCAATATAAAAGGAAATAGATACGAACCAGCTTCTCTAAAATGGGAGGGTAAGGACAAGATAAAATACTTTTGTATTCACATGATCTACTGAAGTGCAAACTATTAGATATAGTTTATGAATAAGGAAAGCATGTGGATGGTTTTCGCTTCAAACTAAAATACATAGCTAGATGCTAATAATTAGATGCCTGATTCTGAATTATTCCTATAAGCGACATTCTGTTTTAAGTTCTCACCCAAGAATAATATAATAGCTAAAAAGGCAATAAATTTAAGATGCGAATAGTAGTTGCATTGGACACCTTCATAAATTGAGGATAAAACGCTGAGAAGGACAAGCTTAATTACCTGCATGTTGTTATACCTATTGAAGGTCTTGCTGCATATGGAGCAAGCAAACTGCATCGGCCCAATAAGGATCTGTGCAGGAGTTGGTATCCAGAACCTTCTCTCCTGGTTAAATCCATGGAAGCTTCTCTTCATCATCATCATGCCTTCTTCTTCTTCTTCCTCATCTTCTTCTTTAACATCAATCACCTTCTTCTTCACATCAGCCCCATCACTGTATTCTGTATAATTGGTAGGTAACCCAATGTGCAAAGCCACCCCCACTTGCTCCAGCAGTACCTTCTCTTCTTTCACTGACCCAAACACCTCCTTTTCCCTTCCAACTTCCAAATCTTTCGATGGAGGCAAAAACTGGATAGTCTCCCGAACGACCTCGTTTTGACAAGTCTCATCAGAAGAAGAAGAAGATGATGATGATGGTTTGAGCCATTCTATGAAAGTTGGAGAAGCATGAAAGTAGGGATTAGTCTTATCTTGCACATTGCAGTACTGATCTCTCAGACCCATGTTCTTCACACAGATCAGTTCCCTGATCCTATGGATTGGATTGGTGAAATTCTCTCCTCGCAAAAGAGCCGATATTTAGACTTTATGTGAGAAAGGTAGCTAGCCTGCACTTGCCTCCCAAAAAAAAAGAAAAGAAAAGAAAAAAGCTTTTGATATATAATTATCGACCAAAGCAGTGGCTTTTTAAAAATTAACCATTACTTTCTCCCATTGTTTCTTTTAAGGGAAGAGAAAAGAGAGAGGAGACTAAATGGTAGGGTATAGAAAGTGACATTCAACATTGGACTCGCCCAATTAATAGAAGGGAATCCTAGAATAGTCTGAGGTCATTATACATACAGTCGATCCATAAATCTGTAATGTGAATGAGCTAGGGTACATATGTTGTATGTTGGGTTAATGGTTTGCTTTAATTAATTCCCTTTCTCTTTCAAGAAAATTGTAATGGAATTTGACCCGTATCTGCGCCCATTTTCTCCCACAAGTTTGACGTTATATGCCCATGAACTCAATTAACAAGATGATCAAAGCAAAGACGGCACATTTGGTCAATACCTAAAAGGAGAATTACATTTATAAGACATTTAAATATGTTGAACGCAAGAATTAACAAGGACCCTGGACAGAATGTTGTCTAAAAAGGTTTGCTCCATGTATTTTCGGAACCTCCGAATAATTAATTAGTCAACAATATAATAATTTAAGAAAATAATTAATAATTAAATGAGGCCTAATTTTTGAGGCATGCATGCGTGATATGTTGCTGCAACTTGAGTTTTAATATATATTATTCAAAAAAAAACAAAACAAAAAAAATTCCCTGAAAAAATCAACTTCTTGTTGTTGATCATGTCTTGGACTTATTTTAGGGCAAAAGGGAATTTATATCTGCATCGGCTACTTCTTAAAATCACAAATAATTTGAATAGGATTCAACTTTTTTCAACGAAAATTTCATAAAGTCAATTATATATCAATAATCCTCATCAGGAACTACATATGCGGAAGACTTTGGACACCACAAGAAAGATCAGTGAGTTTAGATGTCGTGTAATAAATTTATGGGAACACACGGGTCATAATTCATCAGGCAGCACACTGAATGCTTTTCATACTTATAAACTTGACCATATAGTGATTTTTCTTTCATATTCTAATACATGAGCATGACACCATCAGATGCGTAAGTAAAACGTCGTTCTCACAAATATATGTGGTGGTTTTTCAAAGAAAATATAGGAATCATCAGATCATCACGCCGATCACCAAAAATTTTCAAAATTTGATTAACACAAATTAATTAATCATATAGAAAAACTTGTGAACATATCGTACGTGTGCGTGTATTTCATGGTGACAAAACTTGCTATTCACTGACAAAATAATTGTGAGAGCCGAGAACTTGGTAGGCGAATTCGCATATCCTTGGCTCCTTTTTCGTCTCTTTTATTAACCTAGTTCACTTGTTTCCGACAGATGTGTGTGTGTGTGTGTACCGTCAATATATGATTCAGTATCACCAGTCCTTTTCCACCGTTTTCAACCTTTTCACACTCTGAGATGTGAAACAATTTCTCTATATAATTGAAGTCCATTTCAAGCTCATATATACATGCCTGGACTGTATTCTGCGGATTAATTTTTTGGTCAAAATTAATTTCACTTCATGTTGATGTGAGTGATCGATGAGTGGTTCAGATTTTGTTCAGAAAAATCTTGAGCTTGAATTTTTTGAAGGAAAAAAAAAACAGGAGTCGGGAGAACTTTACTTTTCTTAATGTGTTCATCTACCTTCGACCCGAAATAATAATCAGTGTCACTTCCAAAGGCGAAGATGCTGAATCAAAAAATAATAATAATAATAATAAATAAAATTAGCTCCCATCAATCAAAATCTCTAACCGGTTTTTGTTATATTATCATGCACGCTCGAATTGAAAGATGGGGATAAAAATCTCTGTTGTTTTCTCACGAGGATAAACATTGCGATGAAGGCTTTTTTATTGACAATCTAACTACTGAATAAAGTGAAAAAATCAAAATGAATCTGTTTGTCTGCTAAAAGAAAATTCCAGTTGTTTTTGACAAGTGAAAAAAGTAAAAGTTAGCTAGGGTTAGCTAAGTAACCACACAGTGGTGGTAGCTAGTAGCTAGAATTATATTAAGAAGTGGTAGGTTTTAAGCAGCTGAGACCTTTATGAAGCTATGTCCCATATAGAAAACTCCCCGTGACAATACCTTTATTAAAATCATTTGTCACCTTTTGGTTTAATTTAGTTTATTTGGAATATAAGAGGTTAGTGGTAGACAAACTTTTGCAGATTATGATAGAACTACATGACGCTTTATTAATTTCATTTCTTTTCTGCTTCCTATCGACCTTGGATATGTACATGTGGAACCATGATTTTATATATTATATCCCCATTTGGATATATATTCATCCACCTTTTAAATTTTCTCTCCACTTTTAATTAAAGACACTTGTTAAAGTAAATAAAATAATTACCACGAGAAGCCGTAATAATATGCCGTAAAAATGGGTGCATTATAGTTTACCATTCATTTTAACTTCACTATTTATTTACCTACTAGCTCATTCACCAAATCCATGATGGGTAATAAAGATATTTTCATGGCTTATCCTCACCTCCGGCCCTTTCTTTTTGCCTTTGCAATGCTTTCAATGGTAATTAAATTATTTTTTTTCTTCCACTTTTCCTACTTCACTATTAAAGTCATATCATGGGTACGTATGTATAAATATTGGTCTTTGTTTGGCCGAAAATATTGAATTCTGAATATTTGTAATGGATACAGACACACACTAAACTTCTAAGGCTTAAAAATTTTATAGAATTCCCAGAATGGAGTTTCTTTCGAATTGAATGTCATTTGACTGACTTAAACTATAGATCTGTTTGATTTTGATACATCAATGTCTAAGAAGATAAATTTTATTTAAAATTAGAAAAAATTAATCTTTTAATTTTTCAACTATGACTCGCTGCGACTCAGTTCCTCATTTATGACTTGTCTATGATTTATTTCCTCAACTTTAAACTCACTTATAATTCAGTATTGCAACTTTTGTTAATTTTTCTTATTTCATATTAGTTTAGATCCTACATCAAAGAGTAAGAGAATGATATTTTAAAGCAATATATGAGTATTTATTTTATTCTTCTTATTTGATAAGTATAATTTAAAAAAATTGAAAAATAAGAATTGAGTCAAAAGTGGAGGGATTGAGTCACAATGAGTTATAGTTGAGGGATTGAGTTACAATTGAATCAAAAGTTAAAGGATTAAAAGGTTATTTTTTTCTTAAAATTATATTAATTTTATTGATATGTCATGGCGTCTGAATAGTTTTCCGCGATAATTTTGTCATATTTACGTGATAATTTCAAAGAATATCAAACCAAACATGGAGACCTTAGTAGTACAGAATGGGGAAACGTAACATGTAAAACACTTCGTGATAATAGCTGAAATTGAAGGAAGCCAGATTTGGGTTTGATCTTCAAAAAAAAAAAAAAAAGGTAGTCCGCAATTGAAGGACCGGGTCGTCTTTGGTGGAGGAAAGAAAAAAGAGAGATTAATAAGTTCGTGTTCTTGCCATTAATGATGAACCTCCTTGTGCTTTCAAACAAGCCATCAAATGCAGAAAGAATTTCATTGCTCTAAACTGTTTCTAATTTAACTTATTATTGGTCTCTGGGATTACCAAAAAACCCACCCAACACGACATTAGAATTATTTACATTGCATCTCCCCCATACGTTTTGGTATTCCATACCGCTCTTGTTCCCAGTCATATACTTTTCTGCTACATTGCAACCCAGTTCCCAGAAGTGTGAATGCATGCATACATACATTCATGTATATAGACACACACATTTACCAACTAGTTTTAAATAGCATTGTATTACATTAAATCAAAGTTCAGGCATCAATGAGTTGTGACAAGGTTAAATTATAAGGGCCAATGAGTCGCATCATTTTATTTAGGGACTGGGTTATAATCGAATTAAAAATATAAGAATTAAATAATTATTTTTTTTTAAATTTAAATGTTTGAGCTGAATACTATTCATTGTATGTGGATGCACTTGAAGGAAAAGAGAAGGTATGGCGGAATTAACGTGACATGATAATCTTACATCATGGTGGTAGGTCAAGGAATTTGATTTTGATTAATGGGTGACATGTATAGTTACTTACAAGACATTCCAAAGTTACAATTAGCGAGGAGGGAATAACGTAATTATGCACTCTTATGACTCTTATCATGATCATCATCATCATCATCATGATGGATTTTCTATATATTTCTGTGTGTTTTGGCGTTTACTTGGTCAAGCAGGCGTAGAAGTTTTTGTATATGAGAATGGGTGCGTAATTGACTTTGACCCTAAATTTTCATTTGTTCTTCTGGCATGGCGGTTTTGAGCCGTTGGGTTATATAGTGAATGTGGGAGAATACCAACCAGGGACTTGATTAACGAATCATTTCATTAATTTCAAATAAGTCGCCCTTTGTACTATTCATTGAATGTATGGTCTAGCGTTGTTGGTGTTTTCCAAGTCTTTCATCATTGATAGCCTGAAATATTTCTTTTTATAACTACCGACTTAGAAAATATAGGTGATTGAGATTCATGAAATGAATGGAATAACTTGTTCCTTGGGTTAATGTGAAGTATCAACTCGCAACTGCGGCTCTTACCCGGTACCTTGTGCTTACGCGTATGTATGTTCTTGATTAAGTCTACACTAATTATCGTCTTCCAGATTCTTAATTTTTATAATTCTCTAATTCCACTTTCATGGTTGGTGGCGTACTGATGTTGAAAGAAATAGTTCCATTAAAGACCAATCCAAGCGTAGAGCAATCATGGAGACAATTTTGGCGGGTACAAACCCTCCCTACATCACATATGCTTTAGACCTTTTTCTATTCATTTTGATGAAAACCTCATTACCACCCATATTTAAAGCGACAAAGATATAAAATATACTTTCTTCGTTAAAAAATATAAAATATTTTTTGAGTAATTGAATGTTCAAAAATATAAAGCATTTTTAATCTTTTGAAGTATAATTATTGCTTTTTTTTTTTCAAAAGTGCCCCTCTTGATAATGAGTTTAAAGTATTTAATAGAGGTAAACATAGAAAGATAAGGTTAATTAAAAAGTAGGTAACTACTTTATTGGAGGATGAGATTCGATTAAAAATACCTTACAT